GGGCTCGATCCCAGGACCCTGGGATCATGACCTGAGCCGAAGGCAGACGCTTAATGACTGAGCCACCCAGGCGCCCCTTGCCATACAGAAATTTTTAATTTTTACATGGTCAAGTCTGGTTGAGTGAATTATTTAGTGAAGTTCTAGACCTTGGGGTTTCAGTCCTTTGGCTTAGCCTCGAGTGCTTTGTAAGTGTCCTCAGCAAACAAGTGTACAGATCCAACCTTCCTCTCAAAGTGGGGTGCTTCCATAAAGTCCTATTCCTGCACCTCAACTGTGCATGACCTTGAGCAAGTCATTTCCTGTCTCTGGGTCTCCGTTTTTCTACCTGTCCAGTGGTGGGGATCAAATAATACGTGTCTTGCGAGGCTACTGGGCTGAACAGATGGCACGGATGTGCTTCTTAAACTGAGAGGGAGGGGGTTAAATCCTGCAGTTGCCACTGCTGTGGGGCTCTGTTGGACGGTACTCCACAAAGTCACGCACTCTGCCCAGTTCTCCACCAAATCCTAGCCCTGGACTTTGGGCCTGCACAGAACAGGTCTGATGGCCAGCGCTGGTGGAGGAAATGAAAGAACTCACCGTACAGGAGCCCATTTGCCTGAGGAAAGCTCTAGAACTGCCTGAATGCGGCTGAGCAGGAGGGTGGGCCCAAGCTGAGCCGGGCGACTGACCGCTGCTGTCCTGGCAGGGTTACCCACCCCTGACAAAGATCCTGGCAAGTTTCTTTGGGAAGCTGCTGGAACAGGAGATAGACCCACTCAAGAACGTGCTGGTGACTGTGGGTGCCTATGGGGCCCTGTTCACAGCCTTCCAGGCCCTGGTGGATGAAGGAGATGAGGTGAGTGAGCAAGGCTCGGGTTGGGTAGGGATGAGGGGCAAGGGGCGATACTGACCCCAGCCAATCTGATCCTTTTGCTAGGTCATCATCATAGAGCCCTTTTTTGACTGTTATGAGCCCATGACATTGATGGCAGGGGGTCGCCCTGTGTTTGTGACCCTGAAGCCGGTGAGGATGCTGGTTGGGGTGTGGGTGGGCAGAGGGTCCAAGGAGTGTGTTGTGTTGGCCCCTGGGAGGTGGGAAGGAAGGAAGGAAGGAAAGGAGGCCGGTTGCTTCAGGATGGGGAGGCGTATCCAGAGTTCCAGAGGAGAGAAGGTGGGGACAGATGCCTATGAAGGAAGGCCAGATCCTTGGAGCTGAATGTCAGGTAGCTTATTAATTGCTGCCCCCTTCCACCTCCTCTTACAGAGCCCTACCCAGGATGGGGAACTGGATTCTGCCAGCAACTGGCAGCTGGACCCCGCAGAGCTGGCCAGCAAGTTTACCTCTCGTACCAAAGCCCTAATCCTCAACACACCCAACAACCCTGTGGGAAAGGTACCTGAGAGACCGCCTTTCAGCGACCCCTCCCGACTGGGTTCAAGTCCCTGCTATGTTACTGATTTGCTGCGTCAGGCCTCAGTTTCTTCATCTGTGTAATGGGAGGGCAACATGTAATGAGCTCTGAGGACTGAGGCTCCCCAAAGTTCCAGGGACAGGGGCAGGAATCCCCTTGGAAGGTATACGTGCTGGCCGGTGGAGCAGACTGGGTGCTTCCATGACTCCCGAGACCCTGGGAATGGTGACCTCACCTCTCGGAATGTCTTCTCATATGTAAAATGGGAACATGACAGAACTGATATACAGGAAAATCTAGTTGTCCAACTGGGTGTCTCTCCCCTAATATGACCACTGCACTTAAGACACTCTGACTCCAGGTGTGGGGGCCCCACACCCGGCAATTCTGCAACACCAGCTGGGGTAGTATCAGATCCCGTAGGTTAGGGCTAAGTCCCACAAGGCTGCCCGCCCTTCAGATGCCAGCCCAGCTTGTCACCTCTGCTTCTGACCAACTGGTTATAAATTTAAGGTTCCCATCACGCCCTCCTCGGGTTCTATTAATTTGCTGGCACCGCTCACAGAACTCAGGGAAACACTTACTTAGGTTTACTAGTTTATTAAAGGAGTTGAGAAAGGATACAAATGAGAAAGGAGACAATAGCCAGATGAAGAGATACACAGAGCGAGGTCTGGGAGGATCCTGAGGAGCTGCGTCACCCTCCCAGTATATGGATGTGTTCACCAATCTAGAAGCACTCCAAACACTGTACTATTGGGATTTTATGGAGGCTTCCTCACATAGGCATCATTATTATAATTTTTTAAAGATTTTATTTGAGAGAGAGAGAGCGTGTGTGCATGAGCCAGGGGAGGGACAGAGAGAGAGGAAGAAGCAGACTTCCCACTGAGCAGGGAAACCGACACTGGGATCATGACCTGAGCTGAAGGCAGATGCTTAACCAACTGAGCCACCTAGGCATCCCATGATTAATTATTATTAACTCCATTTCCAGCCCCTCCCTTCTCTGTAGGATGCAGGTGGGGCTGAAATTCCAAGCTTGTAATCGTGGCTTGGCCATTCTGGTGACCAGCCCCGATCCTAGAGCTACCCAGGTGCCACCCAGAGTCACCTCGTTAGAACAAAAAACACTTCTAGTGCTCTTTTCATTTAGGAATTTACAAGGGCTTTAGGACCCCTGTGTCAGGCATCAAAGACTGAATATTAGAACAAGAGATGCTCCCGGCGCCCCTGTGACGGAGACATTTACAAGGGTTTTAGGAGCTCTGTGCCAGGAACCGGGGGGCAGAGACCAACATGTATGTTTTCTGTTAGCTCGCAGCAGACCTCCCAGGGTCAGTGTTGTAAGGGATTCAATAGGACGGGATGGAAAAGCCCCTAGCAGCGAACTCGGCGGTATCCATTCATCTCTCTGAGCAGGCCTCTCTGCTTGGTTGTGGTCCCCACAGGTGTTCTCCAAGGCAGAACTGGAGCTGGTGGCCAGCCTGTGCCAACAGCATGACGTGATCTGCATCAGTGACGAGGTCTACCAGTGGCTGGTCTATGACGGGCACCAGCACGTCAGTGTCGGTGAGCCATGCCGGCCTGGGGGCCTCCAGTCCCCCGGGCATTGGTGGCAGGGCCCTGAGCCCAGTCTGGGAGTCCAAGCAGGCCCCGTGATTAGGGCCCGTGGGTCTGGAGCCACACAGGTCGTGTGGCCTGGGGCAGTGACTTCTCTGCGAGCAGGAGGACACAAGGGCACAGCCTCCCGGGGTGGTCATGAACAGGAGCTGAGATGAGCCCCGAAAGAGCTTAGCACATAGCAGGGGCCGGGGTGCCGAGAGCCCGAGTGTGTGACGGGGGCCCGGCCACCACCCCTCCCCTGCCCCTCGCCCCGGTCTCAGCAGCTCCTCTCTTTGGCCTTGGGCAGCCAGCCTCCCGGGCATGTGGGAACGCACCGTGACCATCGGCAGCGCTGGCAAGAGCTTCAGCGCCACTGGCTGGAAGGTGAGTTGACGAGGGTTGGGGTACCGCCTCCCCCCATGATCCGGGGCAGGTGAGGCTGCACTGGGAATCAAGACGGGGGGGGTGGCCGGGCGCCTGGGTGGCTCAGTTGGTTAAGCGACTGCCTTCGGCTCAGGTCATGATCCTGGAGTCCCGGGATCGAGTCCCACGTCGGGCTCCCTGCTCAGCTGGGAGCCTCCTTCTCCCTCTCCCTCTCCCTTTGCCGGCGGCTCCCCCTGCTTGTGCTCTCTGCCCCACCCCCGCCCCATCAAATAAATAAATAAAATCTAAAAATATATATATATGTGATTAAACAATGTATACATAATATATAAATTTTGTTTTTAAAAATAAATGTGTGTTATAAATGCATAAAAGAAAGACTGGAAGGGTTTATATCAAATAAATAATGTTACTCCCTCAGAGCTGGAATTGGGTGACTTATTTTCTTTTTTGTGCTTACATATTTTCTGAGGATTTTCTATAAGAAAAATATTATGAGAAAAACACCATTATTTTTACAAAGGAAAACAGATCTGATCTGTTCAATTCTCTCCAGCCCCCCTGCAGCCACCCCAATGCAGGACCCCATCATCTCTGCTCTGAACTAAAACTTCACCTCTAACCTCTTACAACCAGACTTGTCTCACTTTCTCTGGTTCCTCCTCATTGAGGCAAGAATGCTCTTTTAAAAACATAAATCTGGGGGCGCCTGGGTGGCTCAGTCATTAAGCGTCTGCCTTTGACTCAGGTCATGATCCCAGGGTCCTGGGATCGAGCCCCATATTGGGCTCCCTGCCCTGCGGGAAGCCTGCTTCTCCCACTCCCACTCCCCCTGCTTGTGTTCCCTCTCTCGCTATCTCTCTCTCTGTCAAATAAATAAATAAATAATCTTAAAAAAAAAAAGGGGGGGGCTGGCCAGGCCCTGAAGGGCCTCACCCCCTCCCCGTGTTCTCGGTCCAGGTGGGCTGGGCCCTGGGCCCGGACAGTCTCATGAAGCACCTGCGCACCGTACACCAGAACACGGTCTATCACTGTCCCACGCAGGGCCAGGTGAGGAGAGGCAAGGCACCCTGCTGGGGGGGCGGGGCCACCACAGAGCCAGTCGGATCACACCCCACCCCCACCCC